AAAGAAGACAAGAATGCAAATTATTCTGTGCTATTCAGTGAGACAACCTAGCAGGATTTGCAGAGCAGGAAGCATAAATGTATTTCCTCTTTCATTTCAGACCTAGAATAAATAAAACCTACAGCTGAGAAAAAAACGTTACATCTTCACAACGCAGACAGACAACACAGTTTACAAGGCAAAGACCACTTTTTGTACTGCTAGGGTGCTTAGCACATTGCTTCTCAGTTTGTGGTACTACAAATACCTCCTTATCCTAAAAATTCACCCAAATGCTAGAGCATTGAGATGAAACTAAAACCAGCTGTGCTGCATAGTGCCAAAGGGTGACCTAACCTAGCATCTTGTATCAAACAGCGTTCAGTGGTGTATGCCAGAGGATTGCAGGACTCTCACAGGCATACAGGAACACTTCCCTAGTCACAAACTCTCTTAATTTCTAGTGATCAGTCTTTAGTGAGTTTTTGATCCAGATGTGTTACTGCTGCATTTTAGGCCTCCGTGGGCTTTGCTTCCATTAGCGCCCCAGTCACTTTTTACACCCACGTAAGCTATATGGCCAGATTTTCAGTTTATGCATGCCATGTGTGAAAAAATGCTGCTCTTCTTTCATTTTGGACCAGCTACCTCCCTACTACTTCTTCTATCAAAAGACACACCTTTTCCACAGCACTCCTGAATTTACAGATCCCTGTTACATCCTTACTGAGCCTCCTCTTTCCCAGCCAGAAGAGTCCCAGGCAATTCAGCTGCTTCTCAGATGTGTTGTCATTACACGGCTTTGACTACTTTGATCCTCCTCTTTGAGCCTTTCCTAGTTTTGCTACGTTTTTGCAGCAGAGCGGACCAGAATTTTACACTACGCTAAGACCTAACTGCACCGCCAATTTACACAGTGTGAAACTGTTTTGTTGTATTCTTTATCGCCTACCGAGTCATTCTTAGCACTTGCCTGACCCACTGCTGAGCCATGAGCTGATGTTTCCGTAGAGTTACCTAGATAACTCCAAAATCACTTTCCTACATAGCAATAGCTACTTCAGAGGCCCCAGCTGCAGGTAAATTGAGAATTAAGTATTATTTTATATATTATTTCATACTTATTTTAGCAAATGTTGAATTAAATCTTCCATTTTATCAGACACTCAGTATCGTGAGATTGTTCTGCTACTTTTAACAATTTCCATTTTTGTTATTTTTGAGAACTCGACGTAAGTGCAAACATTATGTTACTATTTACCCCTCTTTAACTGATGTGTTACATACCTGCTGAGCAGCAGAGTCCTGCTGGACTCCTTTAGCAGCCTCTCCGTGTTGGGAATATCGGTAATTTATTCCTTTACTCTTTATTACTCTGTTTCGCAAACAGCCGTGTAACATTAAGGGACTTCCACTCTTCAACCAGCGCATCACTGTTTTTTTAAAGAAACTTTAATGAAAGACCCTGTCTAAATGCCTTTATGTAGACTACATCAACCTGGCCTCTGTCTACTCAGTGAAGCTTCCAAGAACTCTACTGACCATGAGGCAAGGACTCTGCCAATATGTAACTACTCACACTACTCACTGCTTTTACACTGTAGTGACCCGCTGAGCCTTAAGCTTCTCTCACAGGCTTCCTGTTTAAAAGAAAACAAACCAAAAGCATGTACAGGTTTTATTGTTCTATGTCTTTGACCTATGTATTGCATTTTTTCCGCATTTTTCATGTTTGTCCATTTCTCTTTTCTTAACTTAGACACAAAATACTAAAGTAGACAAAGGTAAGTTTTTGACTCTTAAGAGTTCTCTTAACTAGCTCCTCCATGAAAAAATAATTTATATTGTCCAATGAAAACAGTGAACCAATGCTCACACTAAAAAATGAAATTTTTATTTGGATTTGCAGTCTCTGCACCATCTTAGGTATGATTACCACCAGAGTGAGGGATTTTGCTATGTATGGTCTTAATTCTCAATTCTTAATTCTCAATTCTCAAGATCAGGTTCGAGACCAAGGCACCTGAAGGTGCACAAGTCCATGGGACCCGATGAGATCCATCCGCGGGTCCTGAAGGAACTGGCGGATGAAGCTGCTAAGCCACTGCCCATCATATTTGAGACGCCGTGGCAGTCCAGTGAAGTTCCCACTGGCTGGAAAAGGGGAAACATAACCGCCACTTTTTAAAAGGGAAAAAA